GTGAAAATCATTTCATCACAAGATGCAACCTGTAACACCAATTCCAAACTAATACACAACAACACCAATTCCATACAAATCCCTAATGCCTGATGGAAAAGAAGTGAAAACAGGGCACAGACCAATGATTCCTAGGACCAATTGGGAGGTGCAAACAACTCCTTTGATTTCTGCAGGGTCATTCACATAGGTCAACAGCATCATTTGACAGGAACTCAGTTAGGACCATGATGAACAGCATCTGTGTAAAACTCACACTGTCACATACAAGTCATACAAAACTAAGGAAACCAGAACATCCCACGCACTTGAAAACGACATCTTTAAAGCAATTTTAACTGATATATTAGAGCCATCTAATTTTAAAAACACTCTGTATTAACTTGAGGCCAGTAATAAACCTTAGAAGAATGTTCTTGAAAACAGTGTTGCCTGTAGTCACTACAAACACATATTCCTCTCTACATCTCTCCAGCCATTCCCTCCCCTTTAAGAATAAAAAATACCTCTCTTAATTCTATTACATCTGTAGGAACTTTTTCTTCTTTTGATACCTTATCAGTGTGAGTAACTGAAGTTCACATGCCAAATTATGCCTATTTATCTGGCTGCCCTCCAAATAAACACATTCATTTGACTTCCAAAAAAAGTTCTAACATACACAAAAGCTCACTAAAACCATGTACCACCAGCAAGTTTTTCCTCCAATTCTGCTGTTACTATTTTATCTGCCACCACGATTTGAAAACTAGAAACAGCCCAGGGAAGCATGACTAATGCAGGAAGGCACTCCAAGGAGTTCTATCCAAACAGTATTTTCCCTTTCACAAGTACAAATTTTCTTTATATTAAATTTGATTGATCCTTTACAACAGATTAAATAAAAATCAACTAGGGATGGAAGTTGGAGCACAGGTGCACAGCTACTGTTGTCTACACTGTCTTTGAAATTTTCTTTGTTGCAAGACACCCGTTCTCCTTGCTAAATGTCCTGGGGCAGCTTGTTTGCATACTTGTGTGGAGCCAAACCCCTCTGGAGCAGCAAACAACTCACACGTCACATAACACCTGTGGTGACCTTCCGCTCAGTGGCTCTTGCAGTCTTTGCACATGTGGGCAGTTCTCCCACACACATTGCAAAGTATGTCCAATGTTCTATTCAGGTTGGTTCTCCACATGGGCCCTGGGATTTGCTTTGGACTTGGGGAAAGGAAGCTGTTAGGTTGCCTTTTTTGCTGGGGTTTTTTAGCTATTGCTTTTTTTGTTTGGTTGATTTGTTTTTTTAACCATTTGAGAAGCACTTCTCAGGGCTGTACCAGAAGCTCTGAGCAGAAAGCTGTACTGTCATGCTCTAATTCTCCTTTCTTCTACAAGTCCACAATAGAAGACACTGCCAAAAAAGCCTCAATCTCCTGGGAGTCTTGCATGGCTGTTCTCTGGGCATCATTTTTCTTAATGCTATACTACTTTAAATTAAACATAAAGCAAATTAAACATCACATAAATTGAAACATAAAATGTTCAGGACCAGGTGCGCAGCCATGCAAACCACTACATCTAGGCCCCTACAGCATGATGCTCAGCCCCTGCAATGCATGAAGGGCCAGAGGATGCATTAACAGTGTCAAAAGATGAGGATAGAAAAGGAAAACCTATTGGGTATTGTCCCATTCCTCTCCTGACATACAATTTACTGCTATAATCTGCCTAGGGAAGATATCCAGTCATTCCATTACAGAAGGGATTCCAGGAGCAATCTAGCAAGCAGCAAGAATGACACGAATAGTAAAACCTACAGTGAAACAGGGAGTGATTAAAACAAACACCAGACATGCCCACATATACCAGCTTGAACACAAGCATTTCTTCTTTTTTTCTTTTAAAATTAGACAGTCAAGATATAAAAATGATGGAAACTAATACATATTATTATATTTCTCTAGAATAAACTAAAGAATGCTAAATATAAAATTTTTTCCCAAGACAAGGAACACAAAAAATCTAAAACTAAGAAAACCAATGGATTACAATGGAAACTAGCAATATTTTGTGCATTACAGTATCACTACAAACTTTTCAGTTTGCTCAAAATGCATTTTACGTTTATGTTTTGCATATCTGATATTCAGCCAGAGATCAGGTTAGGAAAGCTGAAGTTGTGATACAATTAAATGTGATCAGGGATGTCAAGGGCAACAAGAAAAGCTTCTAGACCTATTTTGGTGATAAAAGGAAGACTAGAGAAAATATGGGCCCTCTCTGGAAAGAAGCAGCAGACCTGGTTACCTGGGATTTGGAGAAGGCTTAGGTACTCAATGACTTTTTTTGCTTCAGTCTTCACAGGCAAGTGTTCAGGCCTCACTGTCTAAAAATCACAGAAGGCAAAGGCAGGGACTGGGAAGATGAAGAACCATCAACAATAAGGGCAGATCAGGTTTGAGACCATCTAAGGAATCTGAAGGTGCACAAGTCCATGGGACCTGAGATGAGATGTATCTGCAGGTCCTGAGGGAACTGGCAGATGAAGTTAAGACCATATCCAACATATTTGAGAAGTTGTGGCAGTATGGTGAAATTCCCACTGATTGGAAAAGGGAAAACATAAGGCTCATTTTCAAAAAGATAAAAAAGGAAAACCTGGGTAACTGTAGGTCAGTCAATCTCATGTCTGTGCCTGGCAAGATGTTCTGGTCTAAGAAAGGATGAAGCCAATTTTCCTTTTACTGATTTATTTTTTTTTCTTCAGTGAGCTGAAGAAACTTTTAACTACCAGCAAGTTTTACAGCTATTGGACTGGTAACACTGCAATGTTTATGTTACTGCTGAGATGCCAAGGTCACTTTGCTTTACTTGTTGAATCTCTGGCCTCAGATGCTACATGAGCAGAAGAGTTGTACCTGTAACCCTGTTGTAGGGAGGTGGGGACTAGATGGACAGCAAAATTGACCAAAGTGTTCCATTCCATATATCCATGTAAGCTCGGTGTAAGGGCAAAGATCATAGAAGTCAAGCCCCTACCTGCTTCTTTTTGCTTTCTCTTCTGCCCATGGCCGGTGTCCAGTGAGCACTCTGTCTATCCATCCATGTTGATCCTCAGGCACATGCATTCCTGACCCTCACAACTCTCCCCTCAGCTCCTGTCTGTTCTGCCGCTCTCTCCGGCAGCTCTGGGACATTTTGGAACCACTCCCTGATCAGGAGATTATGGGGGAGTTGCTGGGGGCAGGGGGAGGCAAGAGGGTTTTGCACATTCCTGAACATACTTGTATATATAGTTGTACATATTTTCTTCTTATTAGTATTTATTTAAAGCTGTCTAGTTTAGTTTTCAATCTGGAAAGTTTCTCTCCTTTCTCTGCATGGGTGGGAAGGGGGAGGGTGTCAAGAGCACTGTGACTGGTTCAATGGATGATCCTGAGTCAAACCGTGACACGAGATCATGGAGCAGATCCTCCTGGAAGCTATGCTAAGGCACACAGGAAATAAGGAGGTGACTGCTGACAGCCAATACAGCTTCGCTAAGGGCAAATCAGGCCTGATTAATTTGGTGGCCTTCTGTGACAGGATTACAGCACTGGTGGGTAGAGGAAAAGGAACTGATGTGATCAAGCTGGGCTTGCACAAAGCACCTGACACTGCCCTACACAACATGGTTATCTCTAAACTGGGGAGACATGGACTTGATAGATGAACCACTTGATGGATAAGGAATTTGCTGTATGGTCACACTCAAAGAGTTGAAGTCAATGGCATGATGTTCCAGTGAAGATCAGTGACAAGTGGCTCTCAAGGGTTCATACTGGGACCAGTGCTGTTTAACAGCTTTGTTGGCAACGTGGACAGTGCAATTGAGTGCACCCTCAGCAAGTCTGAGGACAACATCAAGCTGTGTGGTGTGGTTGACATGCTGGAGAAAAGGGATGCCATCCAGGTTTGAGGGTGGGCCTGTGCAAACTGCATGAAGTTCAGCTAGGCCAAGTGCAAGGTCCTGCACCTGGGTTGGGGCAATCCCAAGCACAAATACAGACTGGGCAGAGAATGGATAGAGAGCAGCCCTGAGAAGAAGGACCTGGGGGTATTGCTTGATGAGAAGCTCCACAAGAGCCAACAATGTCTGCTTGCAGCCCACAAAGGCAACAGTATCCTGGGCCGCATCCAAGTAAGTGTGACCAGCAGGTCAAGGGAAGGTGATTCTTCGTCTCTACTCTGCTCTCATGAGACCCGACTTGGAGTCCTATGTCTAGTTCTGGAGCCCCCAACACAAGAAGGCCATGGATCTGTTGGAGCTAGTCAAGAGGAGTCCACAAAGGTGATCAGAGAGCTGGAGCACCTTTCCTATGGAGACAGGCAGGGAGAGTTGGGGTTGTTCAGCCTGGAGAAGAGAAGGCTCCAGCAGAAACTGGGGAGGGAGTTTTTACAAGGCCAAGTAGCAGTAGGATGAGAGGGAATGGTTTTAACCTGAACGAGGGTAGATTTAGATTAGATACTAGGAAGAAATGTTTTATGTGAGTGTGAGGAAACACTGGCACAGGCTGCCCAGAGGAGTGATGGAAGCCCCCCCCCCTTGGAACTGTTCAAGGCCAGGCTGGATAAGGCTTAGAGCAATCTGCTCTAGTGGGAGCATCCCTACCCATGGCAGGGGGGTTGGAGCTGGATGATCTTTAAGGTCCCTTCCAACCTAAACCAATCTACAATTCTGTGATTCTATAATATTTATATAAGGCTAAAGAATCATTCTTTAAATACCTAAGTTATATTGGTTTTTTGTTTGTTTATTTTTGGGGGTTGTTTTTTAAAGATTTGGTAAAGATTTTCTCTCATGCCCTAACATGGAACAGTGCTAGAATCCAAAACACATTATCACAATGAGAAGTAAATTTTTAAGCATAAACCATCTCTGACATTTTTTCTACAACAACAGAAGAACTGTCCAAGTACTAAACTACTGTAGGCAAATGTGTTACTGTTTTAGATCTCAACATGGGAATAAAACTACTTACTCTTCTCGCAAAATAAATTCAATGTTTTCTGGAGAAACCTGTCCTGTCACAGGATGTCTAAATGATGTGGTCTGCTGATTATGGCTGAAATGAAAAACAAAGAAAAAATGAAAACAGAAATTAATATTGCTAAACTCAGTAAAATGTATCTGTGATCTCTAAAAGGCAGACCTGTTTATATTGATGCTTTGCTGCTGCTACTCAAGAAATAAAACACATTTGAGCTACTTTTCAAGCCAGAAATGTTTTCAACTCCTTCCTGCATACTTGTTGACTGTGCCAGGGGCACACTGTACTATTTAATTATTAAACAAGTTAATGTTTTAGAAGTAAACAATCCTTAGTAAGGTAACTGCACTTGAATTTATGATATTTACATCCGATTGTTACCAGATTGTTTAAACATAACACAGAAATTGCACAAAATATGTTACCAATCTTTATTTCTGTAAATTACACAGAACAGAATCAGTAAAATAATTTAAAATGTTGCTGGAGGACAACATTTTACATAATTTGTAATATTTAATGAGAACACAGGAAAAGATTTTGTGGAAGCTATTTGTTATACGCTTTTTTTCCCTCTAATACGGTATTTCGTCAATTATTTTTTCTTTACACTTCCATGCAGAAAATCATATATAACTTCAGTTTTTCAGTTGCAAATATAAACCAGCATAAATTAGAATTTCAGCTGAGTTGAATTAAAACTGGGATTTTCTATCAACTTCCCCCTCAGTACTATCTAGATGTTTTGCTACCTTCTGTGAAATATTGCCATCTGTTACAGACAATTATTCTAATAATTGTATAATGCAAAAATACAAAGCTAAAAAGCTTAGTTGAAGAAAAACTGGTAGTCTTCCTTTCTCTCCAAAGTAGATCTGAATTAATTCTATAGAAAACAGAACAGTTTCTAGAAAGTCTCATACCTACTAAGCCCCTTATTCTGTAGCCCTGTCCAAAGAAGCAATCTATAAATATTAGAACTTTCAGACAAAAGAAAACTGAAGATCTTATTTCAGAATTAGAAATATTGTGGCTGACAATGTGGGAGCCTTATAATTGGAGAGTTATTCAGCCAGAGTTGACCTATTTAAGGTTCTGAATTTGTACGGGTTTAGTTAAAAATATTTAGGTAAAACATATCCCAAACTAGAATTCCCATAAACTGCAAAGTGTTAACACACTGCGAGTACACTCGTAAAACAGAAATAAACCTATTAAATTAATTACACCTCAAGGTGCCAAAAATTAACACTTCACCCATTTTTTGTTGTTGTTTCAAAGATATGAGGTTTTCCTCCCACTTTGGCTAGCGATTTCAGGTCTAACAGATTCAACCCAACTCTTTAGCATACCAGGATGTCCCCCCAAAACAGAATAAGGCATTAACAAGTATTTTTGAGTTTCAAAGTAATGAAATTACAAAAAAGGTAACAACCTTTCTATAAAGGACTGCTAAAAATCAAACAGCTCTTGCACTTACCACATTCAAACGTAAGTATCTCAGGACATGCCTTGATTTAAAACAAACACATACAACCACCAACCAACACACCCAAACAACCAAAAACCACCATGAAAAATAAAATATCAAAACCAAAACAAACAAAAAAATCCAAACCTAAACCAAAATAACCCAAAAAACCCCAACAACAAAAGAATACCCACAATCAAACCCACTAACTGCTCACACCAAGTCCCATTTGGCCAATGAATGGCAGAGGATGTTTTGATTCTTAAACTTTTCACCTCTTTTCCAATATGCCTTTGGACAGAAAGTCACATATAGGGGACCAACATAATGAACATACTAAATAATAAGCTGAAAGCAAGGGCAACTCACATTACACCAAAGGGTCTATTCCAACCTCACTTATTACAAAAACACTAGCCCTACAGCCATGAAAACCAGTGCACAACATATTAGGACATCAACTATCCTGTGACACCAGTGCCAGCACTCACTCCCTAGAGTGATGAGACCTGACCTCCACCACAGAGGTGGGTTAATGAAGTACCTCTGCAGTTTCTAACTCTTCAGTTATCCCATGAAATCAGAGATCACAAGAAAGTATTTCCAGTAAGTCTGCAGTACTGACATCTATAAAGCAACCATGATCTTTTTTTCTCAGAGAAGAAGCGAGGAGTATTGTTTTCTAAAGAAGCATTTTTACCTGAGTTTGTATTCTAATTTTGGATGTGCATCCAAAGAAAGGAATAGGAGCTTGCAGATATTTTCAAAGAAAATAAATAAATTATAACAGCAACAATTAAACTCCACATTTGTTACACAGTCAAATTTTAAGCTTAAAACTCTCTCCTTTCAAATCAGGACTGCAGCAGTCTGTTTAACCTTTGGTACTTAGGGTAGGACTAACAAAAGCACAGATACATTGTTAGCTTTAAAAATGAAAGTACATTGTCAGCTTTATTCTCCAGGGGCAGACAAACTGTCAATAAGCTCTCATCTGCAGGCTTTTAGACGTTAGTAACTCACTCTACAATTAAGACTAGGAAAAAGAACAGTTACTTAGGAAATTAAGTTACCCATTATACCATACTAGCTAGCACTTTTAAAATGTTTTATTATTATTTTCCTTGAAATAAATTCACCTGGCCTTCAGAATATTAATTAGTCCTCTTGCTGTAATTAAAGAGCAAGTCTATTACTAATAGACTAAATATTACATGCTAATAACGAAAGTTTCAGCTGGAAAGTAAACACTTCCGAAATATCTGAGGAATTGCATTTTGAGATAATTTTCGCACTTGTAGTAGAAAGAGCAGAGACACAGGATAGTTCTATTACTCATAAAATGCAGATGGCAATTTCACAAAGGAGAAGACATAGAAGACCAAAGTTTTCCATAAATCTGCAGCTTCAATACTTGGGACGTGACAGGAAAGAAAAGAAAGAAATGAAACCACTGCCACTAACAATTAAATTTACAAAACACAATGCTTTATTTGAATTTGAAAAGTGAGAGTTTAAGTGTTTTGCCTCATAAGACTCATTAAGACTAAGCAATACAATTCAAAACAACCTATACAACAGATGGCTAATGCCTTGCAACAAGGAATTAGATCGCAGGGAGATTTTTGTCCACAATGACAGCAGTCAAACACTGGAAGAGGTTGCCTATCAAGGCTTTGGAATCTTCATCCCTGGAAACAGCCAGAAAGTGTCTGGGTAAGGCCCTGAGCAACGGAATTGAACTTTTAAAGTTTGCTCCAACTTGGAAGCTGGCTTGGCTCTGAACAGGAGAGGCTGGATCTGATGGGGACCAGAGGTTTCTTCCAACCTAAATTATTCTGTTCTGTCATTCTCTGCTGCTCCTTCCATCTTCTCTGCAAATATCATATAATTATTACAATCCCTTTGAAGCTTTTCAATAGATGTGTTTCAAGAATATAAGCAGTACCTTGTTTTTATTAGAAAGAAAGAAATTGTATTATTAGACTTTAAGATTTAGATAACAAAATTTTTGTTGTTGTTTTCATGTTTTTTAAACATTAGGTTCACAGTAGTATCTGTTTACATAACAATGGTAACAATAACGTCTCTAGTGAGAGTGACCTAGTAAACCTGTTGCAGTGGAAGTTCTCCTTCCTACCAGAGCACACACTAAGAAAAGACCTGGCACAGTTGTTCTCCAGACACATCAGCTAACCAAGCTTCCCAGTAGCTAACCACCTGTATTTTCTCCAAACAATATCTATTGTTCAGAAATCTACTGTGTATAACAGGCACAAAAAATTAGCTTTAATAAAAGGACACAATACGCTGCTCCACTCTTCATACCTTTTTTATTCTTTTTCACTAGATAAAGACTTAATACCACCAACAAAGCAAGGAAAGGCTTATGATACTTCACCATATGAATTCTGAACACCATGCAACCTGTATTAGTGCAACACTAAACATTTGAAATGCCTGGCTGACTTTTCTAGTATCTTTGCGATAAATTATAGCATTTTTCCTAGAAATCATATTTTAACAGTTTTGTATCATTCCTGTTTTGTATAATTACTCATCAACAGAACCACCAAAGCAAGCATGAAAACATGAAAAACGCACACAAAATTTACATTCACTAGCATCTATCACTACCATCATTGTTCAGTTACTCTGTAGACTGCTAAAAGTAATCCTGAATTTCAAAGTCACAGCACACCATTTTCCAAGGCTTGTTGTTGGTTTCTAATAGTTAAGACACAAGGCTTTTCATAACAGAATCATAGTTCAAACACTGGTTCTCTGAAATTAGACACTGCAGCACATATTCTGCCATTTCTGAACAGGCATACACATTGCAAACATTGAGAACTGATAGTCACCCACTGCCTTAAGACTGAGCTACTGTATCAGTTTAGAAACACTCAAGACCTTCAGGACGTAAACAATGTTAATATATGTGGCTAGTATGAGCCACATGCTGCTTGAGCATCTTATCTAACTTCTAAGTTAGCCCTGGCTTGAGGGGTGGGAGGGTGGAAGCAGATAACCTTCTTACAAACTGCGTGTTGTTTATGATACTGCTGGGTGGGTGGGAGTGCAGACAGACAAGACACTTAGATCCTTTGATAGAACCTTACTGCTTGTCATCAAAATGCAGCCTAAAACCTTCTCAGGTATTGATCAAGCAAGTCTGCAAATGTAACGCTGCCTATCAGTTGTTTGCATTAACCTATGCTATAGTATGATGAAATTTAACTGATTTAAACACAAGAAAACCACACAACTACAATCCAGTCTCCAATCTTATACTGTAAGTAACACAAGCAAGCACTACTGTCTGCATGGATCCTTTTGCAAAACTCATAATTAACATGACTTCATCTATTTATTTTTTTTCTTCTTTTCAGTTCATTTTCTATTCTAGTCAAAACCAATATTAATAATTAACTCTTGGACTGATGCTGATGACCTTTCATTTGAAGTCAAGCAAGTTTATAGATTGCCTCTGGAGTAATTCAAATGCCCAGACAGATAAACCTTGAAACATGTGAAGCAAGTACTGAGTCTTCATCACAGTAACAAAATTTTTTTTAAGTTGCAATAAAAAGCTATATAGTGA